ATGCTATTTCAATTTTTCCTTTCTCTTTGGAGTGTTACAAGCGGTTCGTGAATAGATAAGATCCCTAAAGTTGCAAAGACTAAAGTCTTAACTTTTATAAAGAATATCTCTTTGGGTTTAAGACTTGTCCAAGCCCTCCTAAAATGCCTCGTTTAAACACGTCCCCACATGTCTACGTCACTGTGTGGGAAGATTTGCATAACACCGCCCAAATGTTCAGGCAAAGAAAGAAGGCTTAACTTTGATTCTCGCTGTAGTATTGTTGCCGCCGCCACCATGTTGTGAAGACGCTGTGTGTTTCGTTGTGAAAGCGAAAATACTTCCGTTTGTCCTTCCAAAAGAGGACTCAACTAGAAATCAGTATTTACAACACTGTTCCAGAACAGTTCAACCCAAATATTCAGATGTGTGCAGCGCATTTTATGGAGGACTGTTTCCTGAACCTGGGAAAGAAGCCTACAATGCGTCTGTGCACAAAGGCTGTTTCTATAAAGTAGGGCAATTCCAACTTTGCAAGGACAGTCTGGCGCTTCTGACTCACAGAAAGGCGGGGCATAGAGGAGAAACAATAATGTACATTATGTGGAAAATAATGTGTTTTTTGAACCTTAAACCGCATAAACATTGCATTACACCAAATACACAAAATAATGTTCTTTTTAGCAACATCATATGACCCCTTTAAGAAATATTTTTATTAAGTATTTTATTTATTTTATATATGAATATAAATATGCATTACATATATTTCTTAAATATATACACATGCGTGTATTTATAAATAAATAATATCTACACAGAACGCAAACATTATGTAAACAAACTTTTATTTTGGATGCGATTAATCTCGATTAACTGATCTGACAGTACTAGCATTAACTCAATATTACAGGTTTTTAAAATATGGTAACTTTTTAATGTCCTGTAAGCTAATGTTGATCAAAGTCATCTGCTAAAGTCTACTGCAGATACAGATATTCATACATGCATATAACTACGGATGCAGAAACAAAGTCAACTTGCTCTTGAGTGTTCACAGACTGACTCTTAACCAGATTTCACTTTAACAAGATTATAATGGTCATCCAGAAAGCTTCCCCAGAATGACCATCAAGTTAAAAAAAAAAAAAAGCCCCTACGCTGATTCTTATGGACCAGTTAGACCAGCACCACAACAGCACAAATCAGAAAATCGGAAAATTTGTCAAAAAGCAAGTAAACACACACTTCAACCCCTCACTGACATATACAGACAAAGTTGGTTTGTTAAACATAGAAACACTGGTTATCCCGGTTTGTTGAGGAGGAGGGGTGGACTGTGTGCCTGGGACAGCAGCAGCAGAGCACACCTACCTTCTCAGCCTGGGCTTCCAGCGACTTCAGGTTGTTGGTCACAGTTTTCAACTCTTCCTCAAGCTCAGCGCATTTGCTGGTGTTTTACACACAGAGGAGAGGAGGAGGAACAAGAGGAGGAAAGGTACATTGAGAGGAGGAGAACCAGAGGCAGGTTGGAACAGAGGGACATCAGGGAACCGGAAGAGAGAAAAGAGGAACAAAAAACAAAAACCCAAAATCAATCAAAACAGGGATGGAGGACAAGGGGAGCCCAAAGTTCCCTTAACACAGCAGGAATGTGCCATGATGATGAATCGAAGTCTACATAACTGCTGCATGCAAGTTGTTAGGAGTTACACCGTATGAGAAGAAATCAAGTTGCAGCATTCCTGCCAAGTTAGAAGGGCGTGAAACAAACAAAAAGATGGACCAAATAAAGCTGCACGGGTAGCAAGCAAGGGAAACTGTGGTTTTGCCTCTTACAGAGTACACAAAGTTAGATGTGACCTAATGACTGGCGTGCAGTACCTGTTCTTCTGATGCCTTTAATGACTTATAGGTTTGGTCCAACACTCGAAGCTCATCCTGTAATCTTCGAAGGCGTCTGTTAGTGTGTGCAGAGGGAAGGCCATTCCAAACACGGGCCACATGCAAGTTAACAGTGCATGCAAAAATAAAAAAAACATAAGACAACCAAAACAACAAACAGGAATGTGAAGCAGGTATTAGCAATATGGTAGTAATATTCTTAGGGGATGTACACACGGGACGCATTGTTGTGTTACATCTAAGCTACTGTTGATATGTGCATCAAGTGCAAACTTAAGAGTCAGAATCGGAAGTAGAAGGTCATCCAAGTATTTTCTTCTATCGTTTAATGAATTTGTACGCAGACATACAACTTATTGACTTACCGTTTTTTCACGCATACTAGATGGCACGGAAGTGGGCATATTTGTATACAGGCATAGAGGATGCCATTCAGAGACAATTCATTTCAAGTTAAATAGTGTTATGGTATGATACGTCAGTTTTAAAACAATGGACCAATTAGGAAAAGCTGGAGGCCGGACAAGCAGAGCACACGGAGTGCTGACTAAAGTAACATTTATATGGCAGAAGAGGCTCTTATACTGGTTACAAAGGACTGTATGACAGAAACCAATGTTAAAAAAAAGCAACAATCAGTTACAGAGAAGCTCTAGTTATTAATACATTTTGCATTCATTGGCCTCAGAAAGTAAAAGGCTAGTTAGCATCTCATGTATTCTGTGTGTATGCCTCCTGACACAGAATCTGTAAGGGTGTGCGAGTGTGTGAAGAGTCAGGCACATGCATGAATATGTGTGTATGTGTAGGTTTGTGCAGACATGCAGAAGCTGCAGGAAAGTCTCGTACCTTTCATTCAGCTCAGCGCGTTCCTCTGTGCGCTCCAGCTCAGCCTCAACGATCACCAGCTTACGGGCCACCTGCACACACACACACACACAGGCCAGATCATGGGACAGTCACATACTTGTACTTATAGCCAATTTAAAAGGGGGGAAAAACACTTTCTACACATTAAACGAGACAAAATGAAACCATGAAAAGAATAGACAAAAAGGGAAAAAAGACAAAACACGCAATCAAAAACAGTATCAAAACACAAAAACAAACACAAAAAGAAAAAAAGACAAAAAATAAACACACAAAACAAACAAGACAAAAACAAAAGCAAAGCAATGAACCACCAGAAAACAAACACAAAACAAGAAAAAAAAAAAAGTTCAAAACAAAATCACAAAGAAACAAAAACATGAAACATGAACAAACAAAAGGCAATACAACAAAAATCCAAAACTAAAAATCAAACAAAAAACAAGACAAAACACAAAGAAAAAGAATACAAAAGACAAACAAATCAAAAACAAAAACCACAAAGCTATATTTGATCAGATTACAAAATACAGCAAATCTTTTTTTATGCTTATGCTGAACTGCAAGCACCTGCTTGCTCACACTTTAAGTGTGAAAGGTCATGTGACTAGGCAGGAAGTAATGCGCATGTGTGGTTTGGTGGCTGAGGAAACCTGCCTCCTCGTATTTGCGGTCGGCCTCCTCAGCAATGTGTTTGGCCTCCTTGAGCTGGATCTCCTGGATCTCCATCTTCTCCTCATCCTTCAGAGCTCTGTTCTCAATGACCTTCATGCCTCTGGAAAGAGAAAGCAATAAATTGATTGAAAGAGAATGAAATCTCTCTATAGCATCACTATGACTCCATTTGGATCAATAACTCGCTACAAATTACATTCAAAGCCGCCAACTTGTCTGCAGCTAAGCTCTGGGATCAAAGACACAGTTTTAGCTTCTAAACCCATGTTTTCTTGTATTATCACAACAGTCACTGTCAGAACAGATGAATGGGAGGGAAAAAGCACCTAAGAGCTAGACCAGGTCTCGGTACAGAGTGGTTCTATGTAGGCGCGCTGGGCTGGAGACAGAGGGACTCTGTGTGTGCAAACAAAGGAAGGGAAACGCAGCCTAGTGCCTCTACAAATTGCTGTTTATTCAGGGACCCACTGGCTCTACGCAAACAGCTCACGTCAGTTGTTTAGGCCAAAAACAGCATCACACAACTACAACCGACTGCATGCCCTTGATTTTTCTGCTATGTGCAGAGGCAATTCCAGGGCTTTTTAAAACTTTCCAAAAAAAAGTCTTGTAGATGAAAAGTGAAAAACAAAATGAAATGAAAAATGAAAACACTATACATTTTGAATGTTTTATACTGTCTTTTTTATGTATTAAAATAATGCTTTAATTTTTTTTATAGCATTATTGTTAAAACTTTTGTTCAAATAAAAATACAATTTTGTAAAAAAAAAAAACGTAATTGAAAAGCAATAATAATAATAATAATAATAATAATAATAATAATAATAATGATGATAGCGATGCTTGCTTAAACACAACTATGATTACGAACTACTGTAGGGTCGCGATGCTGGTGATTAGCAAATTACATGGACTTCCCTCAGCACACACAAACAGTCTTTATGCAGGGCACCAGATGTGCAGTGCAGGCTAGGAAGTGGCAGCATGTTGTCATTTCAATAGCAACACATCAGCGGAGCTGCACACAGTAACCACAGTTACTGCGAGAGGGGGAGGAACGGGGTGTGGACCTGCTCAACTGACTCGTTCTGCTTCAGTGAATCAGGCTGACTGTCCTACAGAATGCCACACTTGATTGCATTGTACTTCACAATACCACAGTATGCTATAGCACTGTACACATGTACTGCATATACTAGTACTTGGCAGCGTGGACAAACTCATACAGGAAATGCAGTAATAAAATGTTTGTTCGTTTATTTTATTGACTGATCGATCGATCGATTTAAAAAAATAATAATAATAAGCATGAGATAATGAATATATTTGGACATTCCAGAGAATTAAATAAGTACTGAAAAGTCCTTCATTTGATTTTTTTCTATTTGTTTGTAACTTGGCTGCACAAGATAAGATTAATTGAACTGTCGGTGCCAATAGCCTCAAGACAGCACAGTTGCGCTTCAGCGTCCCGAGTTTGAGTCCAGGCTCACAGAGCTTTCTCACCCCCCGCTCCCTCTCTTCACTTCCTGTATACAATACCGTCATATCCTAATAAAAGGCAAAAATGCCAAAAATAAATCTTTAAATCAAAAACAAAATAAAAAAAACATTACAACTAAAATTATAAATAATTTTAATCTCACACACAAATAAATCAGTAATGTTTAGTTGTGATTTTGATTCATGCCAGTGACTCAAATCATTTAAATCATTCCAAAAAGGTTTATTCAATGATTTATTCAATGAATGAGTCTGTGAATAATTCACTCAAACAATTCATTTGAGAGCGAGTTATTACGTTCATTTAGCGTACCATTTGGTTCATTCACTAACAAGATTTTCAAGATTTGGTTTGTTCATAAATACAGCATTAAGTCAATTTTGTTCATAAGCGAAACTCTGTCTTTATTCGGTTCGCTCACAAACAAGTTTGCAAGTTCATTCGATTTGGATCATTCACAAACAAGTCAGTTCGTTCAGTTTAGTTTAGTCAGTTCGTTCACAAAGAAGATTCTGCATTATTTTCATTTGGTTCATTCACAAACGAGATACTGCATTCATTCGGTTTGTTCACAAACAAAATACTGTGTTTATTCAGTTCGCTCACAAGCAAGATGTTTTAAGTTACGATTATTTCACTACATACGAGTTCTGTTGAGAAACCATGTTAATTTGGTTCGTTCGCAAATGAGATTCTGCGTTCATTCAGTTTGCGCACAAGATGTTGAGTGCAGCCGATTCATTCAGTAAAGAGCGTATTTGTTCAGTAGGTCCAACCAATTAAAGGTGCAATGTGTAATATTTACATCGATCAATTGACAGAAATGCAATATAATATACATAACTATGTTTTCAAAGGTGTATAAAGACCTTACTTAATGAACCGTTATGTTTTTATTACCTTAGATTGAGCAATTTATATCTACATACACCGCGGGTCCCCTTACATGGAAGTCGCCACCATGTTTCTACAGTAGCCCTAAACGGACAAACTGCTCTACATAACGCGTTTCGTCACTTTGTTGTTCTTGCGAATAAAACACTGACACAATGATGAACAAGTACATTAATATTCGCAATAACATCAATTTATTACAGAATTAAGTAAATATAATTCCTTAATTTACCTTTGTAAAGAAATCTCATTGCTCTCTGCTGTCTTTACCGACGACATCTTAGTCCTGTATCGGCCACCGTAGCTTCTCTAAAGGGAGGGGTGAGCGGGGGACTGAGCCGTTGGTTGCAATTCGCAACCTCACTGCTAGATGCCGCTAAAATTTACACACTGCACCTTTAAACAGCCCTCAGCTCACACTTAAAATGTTATGCTATAGTCCAGTGTTTCTCAACCCTGGTCCTGGGCGCCCCCAGTACTGCACATTTTGTCAATCACATCAAACACACCTGATTCAACTCATTAGCTCATTAGAAGAAACTCCAGGACCTGAAATGGGTGTCAGATAAGGGAGACATACAAAATGAGCAGTGTTGGGGGGCGCCCAGGACCAGGGTTGAGAAACACTGCTATAGTCAGTCTTTGAAGGCAATGAAAACGTCGTCAAAACGAAAGTGAAAATGCCAAAAGTGAACATGAATGATTCACTCACAAAATTCCACTAGTAGTCCTGCACAGCAATAACCTTGCTGATAGCCACACAATTGTAAAGCAGGTTGTCAGTAGACATTCTACCACATTTCATTTCACTCTACAATGGTTTAGACTGTACTACACCATTCTTTGTAATTGTAAAGTGAATGTCCGTGTATTGTACTAACCTCTCGCTCTCATCGGCAGCCTTCTCGGCCTCCTCCAGCTTCTGCAGGGCAGTGGCCAAACGCTCCTGTGCGCGATCCAACTCCTCCTCAACCAGCTGGATACGTCTGTTCAGGGAAGCTACATCACCCTCAGCCTTGAAGAGCACAGAGGAACTGGTATAAAAGCTCAAGATCAGATGTTCACACACAATTCACACAGACAGTGACACCTACACCCCACAAATGCTGACGGCTCCCATTCAGAGCAAAGAACTCGTCAGGCTTGTATTTGTAACCAGGTTTTGGCGACGGTGTAATTTGGTTATAAACGGCAGTACTAACTAGCTTCCATTAAGATCTACTGAGACCGAGCGATTTCTTCTGCTGTGGTTGAACACATCATATAGCACATAATGACAGCAACGCTAATGGATGAGACAGGACTAGGCCATCGGATCATTACCGAGCCTCTGGGACAACATTAACAGGCGTTGGGAGGGAGTCCCAGCAGACCTACACGGATTACACTGTCAAAGGGCAAACACACATGACCAGTGGAGAACTACAGGCTGCTCCTGCTACCTGACAAACACACAAGCTGGATCATTTCAAACATGCTTTCGCTGACTGCAGGGAAACTCAATGCTGCTTTATGAAGCTTTGGCTTTGATGTAGAAATTTTGTTGTAGTAGTCATACAGCAGTAACTGTGGGTTCCTGGTTGACTGTGAACCAGAATTGGGTCACAGTTCTGTTCTCACAATGCTAAATGCAAATAATACAATGCAACTGACTGTCTACATAATTCATGCACTGAAAAGCAGTGTTGGAGATAATGCATTACAAGTAATGTGAGTTATGTAATCAGATTACTTTTTTTCCAGTAACTAGTAAAGTAACGCGTTACTTTAAATTTACAAAAATATATCAGTTACTTTTTCAAAAAGTATAATTTACAGCATTAAATGAGTGTTAATTATTTTAATACACATAATATGAACAATATACCATATTTTTCAGAAAATAAAAATGGCAGTTGCGAAAACTCAAATTGGTGCGTCACATTTGATCATTTCATTCAGAAATAATGCAAAATACCAATCAATAAAACGAAACGTTTACAATCATTACAAACTATTTTAGTTCTTCACTCTACAATAAATCCTTTATATTTAATGATATTTAGAAGAGGAATGAAAAACTATAAACACTTTTTTGTGAAATTCAATAATAAAAAAAAAACATTTACTGTAAACGCCAAGCCAAAACTAATGTGTAGTGTGTAGGAAATACACTATACAAATAAACCTAGGGCTCACATAACTCTCTCGTTCGCCACAAATTCAGATGTGCACTTGTGAATTTTTTGCGTGCTTGCCGTTAGTTGCATTATAAGTCGCTAAGAAATGTAAATCGCACAAATGATTAAAAATACAGTAACTGAAATATACCTAAATGAATCAGAATCAAACAGAATCTGAACTGAATTAAATTTAATCTGAACATCTGTAGTGAAAGCCAGCCCTAATCAAACTCATCTGCCACATTAATTTTGTTCAACTTTTGACATTTTAGACAATATGTTAAGTCACCACTTTACATCCAATGTAAAATCTGGCCTATAAGACTGGCTTTTAACATATGCTAAATTAATTGACTTATATATTCCTAAGTATTTTAAATATATAATATTGTTACACCATCAAAATATAAGTGCATATTTATGTTTTTATAGCATGCATAACAAATAACCTCTGCTTAAGTCCCAGTCCAGCGATAAGCAAAGGCCTTCCACTAAAGGGAACTACCTGGGGCAAAGTGCATGTTATATTGTCAGCTGAGATATGAAAAACTAGAAAGCAACACAGATAACCTTGACAGCCAGCACTGAACTCCTACATTTCTTTAAAGGGCCCAGAGTCTCAAGCATGCTTGTTTAGAAAAGACTCAGACTAATTATTAATGCCATGCTTCTATAGCAAACTAGAGCCATCACTGTTTATTTCAGCATGACTAAGGAGAGTCCTATTGTATGTGATGATGCAGACTGGCCATATAAGGGAAAGTGTTAAAATGCTGCTTCATGAGATGTCAACATACAGCCAGAAGCAGCAGCACCACCTATTCATTATAATAAAACCACTACAGCACAGCCTGCATAAACAGTTCTGTCCAGGATCACTACTGAACTGCTGTAGGCTATTAGCCTAAAATGATTACACTCAGAACCTCTGGTCCAGTGTAAATTGTCATCAAACAAGGACCTATTCACAGCAGCACAACTTACTTAACTAACTGGATTATAACCAGACTCTCCAATTACAACTGTCAACAAGAGAACAGCCTGAAAAAACAGGGATGAGTCTTGCACAGAGATGTCATCAGCAATCTCAAAGTTTGGGGTGAAAACAACATGGTCTGTTGTTTAAACGTCCTGTTTCAAAACGTCCGACTCATTTCCGCGAATCGATTCTTTCGAACGGTTCAATTCAAAGAACCGGTTCAAAAACGACTCACTAATTGACATTCAAACGTAATTGTCATTACATAGTCCCTAATATCCAGATTCCATTTTAAATGGGTGTTTTCAAATATAATTTCATGCGTCTTCTTAATTCAGTATGCAGTCATGATTTAGTTCATAAAATTATAATGATTCAGTTCAAACTATAGCATGAATTTGCATTTAAGTAATCAAATTTAGTCCAAAATTTATTCTTAATCTCCATCTGAAAGTTTTAAAAAACAAACAAATTAATTTATTAAGACCGATTTTGTATGATTGATATTTCAGTTTACATTATAAGTTGGTTGTTGGCTCTTTGGGAATCGATCACGTTCGAACGAAACGATTCCCGTCTATCAATTCGCGTAATTAGGAGTCGGACAAGTTTAAGATAGTCAATTAATTGTTGTTTAAACCGTTCACAGCGTTTCAGTCAAACTCGTGAACTAATCAATCAGACCGAATAGGTGAACCGGTTCAACTGATTCCCTTTCGAGATTCGACTCAAAAGAACGACTCGTTCGGATACGAATCGGATATCATTATCCAGCACCCTTAAACTGCATTTACATGCGTCAGGTTATAATCACACTGGCAAACATTTAATTCGCGTCTCCTGTTTGTTGCAAGTAAGAAAAGAGAAATGATTAAAAAACGGGTGTGATACAAATGTCGCCGTTTAACGGGCTGGTAAACAGCGCGTAGAGGGCGTCTGAGAAATTCCGCTACGTTCATACCGCACATCACCGCGCGCACTATCGTATCCGTTCCATACGCGGCTGTTTAAATGAACTCACGCACATCGGAACGCCTGGAATGCGCGTCGCATTTCAACACATGCACTTTATACTTTGTATCATTCGGCGTTCTTACTGCTTCTCTGGCTTTCCTCTCCAGCGCCAATTCCCTCTGCAGTTTCTCCGCTCTCTCTTCAGCACGGTCCGCTTGCTCTTGCAACAGTTTTATTTTCCGTTTGACTGCTTCCAGCGATGTAGCCGCCATTCTTATTCCAAATAAGCACTAAAAGCGTCGTCTTTGAACGCGTTTCCTTCAGTTGAACACAGCTCAGAGACGCTGCTGCCCCTGATCTGTGTGTGCGCGAAGACGCGGAGCAACGTTTCAGATCACACCGGAAGTAACCATGTTTTCATAGGCGAGCCCCAAACGACGTCATTACCATGATCTAGGGCTTTTCTACCAGTATTTCCATGCGAGACATTTAAAAGGTGAACTGCAATGCGTTTAATATGTTTCATGAAAAAAAAAAACATTTTATCAATTCATTTAAATAGTAGTTCATTTTAAAGTCATTTGGAGGATGTGCAATACATGTTTACATCCTGCACCTGCTGCACACCTGGATGCGTTAATCAATAGCCTGATGGGTAATTGACTGTAGAGTGCTGGTGCTGAGACTGAGCTGCTAAATATGGAATGACTTCAGCGGGAGGGGGCGCGTTGTTCTGGGCCTCGAATCTAGTTGTTTAGTCCTGTTGCGCCCTCTATATGGATAATTACAGCATTGATCAGCGATGACTCTGCTGTTGTATTTTTTTCTGGACAATTATGTTTTATTATACGTATAATATAATAATATTAATAAAAGAATATTACATTATTAAGATTATATTAATTTATTACTATTAAATTATTAAAATAACATTATATTGCTATTATATTTATATAACGTATAATTTATTAACTTAAAAATATTATATGACTATTATATATTTAGATTATATATATATATATATATATATATATATATACACATTTTTATATATTTAAAATTCATTTATAATATTGTATAATTAATATTTTATTGCTATTACATTTATATAATTTATCAACGTGAACCAATAATGTTAAAAAAATATTTTAATTTGAAATTTAAATACAACCTATTTTTGCGCCCTTTGTGTAGTTCTGTTGATGTACACGAGGGGGAGTCCAAGTGTGCACTTTTCAAAACCATTCTACAAAGATGTATTATTTTAACACAACAAAACTGAGTGAGAATTAGTTTCTACTCACATATGTTCTTTTAATTGATTTATTTTAATTTTAAATATCTCTCAATTATTGAATAACCCATGTCGAATCAATGAAACGCAAAACGACTCAAGAGTTCAAATGAGGCTTAGGATAGAGCAGTGTTTCCCAACCTTTTTTTAGTCGCAGCACCCTTTGGAAATTTTTACAAACTTGTGGCACCCTACAAAATTAATTTTGTCACAATATTTGAATTTCTAACTTCGATATGATAATTTGAAAAGTATAGATATTCAGTACAACAGGGAAGAACTGCAGAATATAATGTCATAGGACTATCTTGTATCATGCAAAGCTATGCAAATACTTGTCAAGACTTTGGATCGTCTACTCATGCAGAATACAGTTTAGTCTTAAAAGAATCAATGGCCATTTTAAAAGAAAGACTTTCAGTCGATCAGTCTTTCTCAAGGGCAGAGCCCAAGGAGTGGGTCTGAGTCTTGACCATATAAAGCACTGGGCTAAATATAACAGCCTGCCTGCTCACTCTCTCCTGTCTTGGAATACACGTCTTGTAATTTAAAATCGCGAATCGTGTAGCCTATTTATGTTTGCATACCTATACTAATACACCATGTTTGGTCAGAGATGTGCGGATTGTGTTTATAATACCAAGCCATAGGCGACTTTTTGGCCATATTAAAAATAGATGGCGTGACGTCGCTTTATTTTGACGTCTGAGGTAAAAAGAGCAACCTGGGCCCGAAAGCAATATTCACAACCATCCTCAAACATGAAAACAGACTCTTATCTGTAAATAATAAAGGTGTGGCATGCCAAAAGTGTCAGGAAAAGATGCGTGAAGAAGGCGGTGATGCTCCACATAGCTACTCACATCTGCGGCTTTCTTTTCAGCCAGCTCCAGTTTCTCCTGTGCATCTTTAAGAGCCTCAGAATATTTGTCGAGCTCATCCTCAGTGCCCTTCAGTTTCTTCTGCAGTGCCAGGAGGTCATCCTCAAGCTGCGCGTGTTTGAGTGATTGATTGACAGCAGTGAAGTGCGGGAAGCAGAGTGCGCGTGGTGTGGCGGGCAAAGAGGCCGACAGAGAAAGAGAAAGAGACGGGAAGAAAGAAAAGTTAGGGAGATTCAGACAGGAACACACAGGAAAATACCTTGGTGGCGACCTCCTCGGCGGACAGGAGCTTCTCCTCGACGCTCTGGTACTCCTCAAACACTTTATCACGCTCGTCCTCCGTTACGCGCAACCTCTTTTCCAACTGAATTAGTTCGTCTTCTAACTACACATGCATAAATGACAGTTTTCATAACAAATGAGGTAAACTTTGATTAGAAATGTTACTAAACATGTCTATTTTAAATACTATACATACTTGCTTCTGTTTGTGGTCTCGGAGACCCAAAGGCTTATTTAATAGCTCAAAAATATACTTAACATGCATTTTATTTGCATTTGTTTTATTTGTTTGTTTTTACAGTGTGCTTTGTTGGGATCATACTTCTTAAAAGTTTGTGTACTTACCACAAAGGGTTAAAGCATCAATAGTATCTACCAAACGAGTTTTAATTTGGTCAGAAGAATATTTTGAAGGGAAAACACAAGGTTTTAATGTTGAAATTAGGCTACTACAGTCACAGTGTTAAAAGAACAGCTCATTAAAACGGTTGACTGAATACTTCAGTTTAAGTAGCCTAATCCAAAAGTTACTGTCATTATCTCATTCAACCATTTTGAATTTAATTAGCCTGCTAATGATGAAAATATAGTTGAAACACTGAAAACTAATAAAATCGAGTAGAAGTTACAGAAATAGGCTAATATTCGACAGTATAGGCTAGTTGATCCTGTATCAGTGGAGCATTAAGGGTTAATGAATGAAAGGTTACATGTTTCTGCATTAGATGTGTGAAAATAAAAGGGTATTGAAAAAAGAAATAGGGCATTAATTGATATTGAAAAGATTAATTCTCGTACTCGTTACTTTTACCCTTCTTCAGTCACTATAAATCCACTCAGGAGCAGTAATAATCCATTTATCAAGTAGCGCGCGGGAGCGGCGCGTGCGCGTTATGGATAACTTTTTAAAGTCCTCATAAAAACCGCAGACCTGTTTGCTCCTGTCCTCCGCTGCCTTTTTGTCTCCCTCAGCCTGCTCAGCTCTGTCCAAGGCGTTCTCCTTGTCGAGCTTGAGCATCTGCATCTTCTTCTTAATGGCATCCATGGCTGCTTATGGGTTGCTGGGCTGCAAAAGAGAAATGTCCAGAGAGGAGCGAGGGTCAGAAGCGCTTGGGACTGACTGAACGCAGACAGAGCTGGAGTGCGAGCGCCCGCTCCTGTGCGCACTCTCAAATACACACTTTCACGGGAGGGGTGACTGAATTCCTCTGGACATTCAATACTTTTTTGGAAACAGCCGCATCGGGCTGCTTCTCCATGCCCCGTGTCTTTTTTTATGGATCTGAGAGGCGATTCGCTGCTGCTCGACATTTGACCGTTTATATGCCTATATAAGGGGTGTGATGGGCAAGGCGAACTCCTCAAGACGTCTTCACACATACAGACGGGGGTCTCGAGACGCTTTCGACGTGACGCACTGTCATCAAAACGCAACGCTCATGGAAGGAGACGCAATCATCGGATTCATTTTATTTTAGGGGTTCAAAGAAAATGATACAAAATACAAATACAAAAAAAAAAAAAAGCTCCTTAGGTTTTTTTTTAAATAATATATGATTTTTTCCTTTGCAACATCATATATATATATATATATATATATATATATATATATTAGTGCTGCTAAACGATTAATCGCATCCAGAAAAAAAACTCTCATTAAACTCTCAAACACCCTGCAGTTCCTTTATGAACCCCAGTTTGGGAAACCTTGACATAATATAATGTTTAAAACACTTCTTGTTGTTAATTACAACAAATGTAATATAGGCTATTTTCTTACTCTCTTTTTTTATATCAATATGGTACACGATTATCCTATTTAAGTCGATGTGATAAACAAGTTTGGTCAAAAGTAATCTAAAAGTAATCAGAAAGTAGTCTGATTATATTACCTGAAAAATGTAATTACATTACCTGATTACATTACCTGTAATGTAATGGATTACGTTACTAACTACAATTTTTATCATGTAATTTGAAATCAGTAACGGACTACAATTTGTGAGTAATCTACCCAGCTCTCTCTATAGATAGATAGATAGATAGATGAAAAACACACACACATCCATTTATTAAAAAAAAAAATCATTACAAATTAATTAATTAATAAAAAATATAATAATTAACTAGGCCTGAAAGTCTCCTCAAAAAAGTTTAGAAAATAAATAATTAATTATAGTACTTTTTGCAATTAAAAAGAATATATATTATGGAATTTATTGTAATAAAAAAACAATTATAATAACATTTTTAATTTCCGTGGCATTTTTGTCACTTTCAGTGGCATTTTGTGACCCTGATGACCTGAGGTTACTCCATCAGTATTGTCCTAAATAAGTTATTTGGGATAAAAGATCCATTAACCTCACAGAAAAGTGTTGAATCAAGAGTCATCGATGACAGAATAACTCAAACTCTCATATTTCCCGACACTTTTAGACTCATGATAACTCAACATCAGTCTGGTCTGAGCCTTATCAGACCTCAAACGTGCCTTTGTTTCTACACTTCTGCGCGATACGAATTAACAAAAACATTGCATAGGCTTATAATGTCATAAATAGGCTCAGCAATGTGCCTTTATGCATCCCATGATAGATGCAAGAGGAGCTTCAGTTTGTTTCTTTGGGATATTGAGCGCACTGAATACTTTGTTATCCTTCAGTCTGCCCTTCTCCTCCTTATACAAGCTTCTCAGAGTATTTTTAGGGCTGTCTTAATGCCCAAGCACCTGGCTCAGTCTTTAAATTACAAATTTCAAAACACTTAGACAAGTGGTCAAACATAATGTGATAATTCCCTAAAATAACCCCAGTCCTAAATATAATACCCAGTTTTCTTGCACTATTTCTGTTCTCTTGTAATTGTATTAAATAGCTCAAAGCAGTTCGGTTGTTTTTGAAACTCACGTCATTTTCATTAAAGGTTTCTTGCTTGCATGCATCCAGCCCCCAAATGTCATTATTGTATATTGAAAAAAATAAATAATAATAATAATAATTACAAAGAAACAGTAGCCAATTAAAAGTACAATTTTGAAGTAGAAAGAATGAAATAGTTTTTTTTTTTAATTCTCCAATAAGCTTTATTTACAACTTCAAAAAATGTTTTTACAGTGTAATGAGCATTGCATTACAGTAATGAAATGAGTAATGAGTTTAATTGTCTTTAAAATAATGCAAAAAAATCATAATAGTCCTTCATTTTTAATAAAAAAAAATTCTTCTCATTTTCATCACAGTTATAAAGGACAATCACAAATGATATGAGAATGCAATTCAAAGATGACTGTTATCTTGTGTTTATGACAGACAGAGCCCTATTTTGCACGTCATTTCCTGTTATTGCAATGCAAGAGCTTTAACAAACGTCCAGTTTTTTCCAAGGCTTGTGGTGAAAAGCTAGATTCAGTGCAGCTGATATAAACAAGCCCCAAAGAACTATGGGTAAATATTTTTATTAAACACATAACATAAGTACCTCTGAGGCCTGCAACAGTCATAGCATTCAAGCCAATTTGGGAATTTATTTGGGTATCATTAAAAGGAGCGTTAGACAATAGTTTATAATTTGGAAAACAATATCTGAGAAGATTAAAATGAAATGAGTAGTAGTAAGATGGCGCCGACGCTGATGGCTGCCTCCGTGGCGTGCTCCGCAGTTGTTTTTATGTTTTTGTTAGTTTGTCCTGTCTTTAGTTATATCCCTGCGATCAGTTTCACCAGAGACGAATTGCTGGACATTCGGAAGTACACACCACCCGATATTTCACCGGTTTTTGATTATTCTGATGTTTTGCTGGACATTGTAGTCAGGGGAGCTGTGGCGCTGATCAAGCGCTTCAGGACGCGCAGACAGGGACCTGGCAATAAAGCTCATTCTGATTCTGATTCTGATTCTGAAATGCAGTCCTCTAGAGTCATATTATGTAAAAATATTGCCCACCATCTGGTTGGTTGTTTGGTAGTAAGCAACTCATTGAGACAGACTAAAATGGTTTCCTCATACTTTTCCCACTAGAAAATAAAAGTTTCTGACAGTGTGAACTGATACTTGGCTTTGTTCAACTCTTTATTAAACACTGTTTATATGAGGATCATTTTGGATTAGTCCACAATCCCTCACAGTACAAATTTATAGTGACAGGCTGGGTAGAGATGAGAGAGGAAGTGTTATCTGAGACCTTTTAATATTCAGATTTCTCCAGTCCAACTCATACAAATCATACCTTTTATATTTGAAGAAATATGCATGAATGGAACAGACTGATGGGCATGATTATCTTATTGTTTCTCCCATCTGTTCCAGCATATAAAGACTAACAAGTACCAGGGATGATAAGGAAAGCTGAGGTTGCTGTGGAACGGATATTGTTTATGTCTTCTTGTTGTTCTTTCTCCTTTGGGTTTCTGACGGTTTATCATCTCTGGTGATCTTGTACCATAACAAACCCATTGGTTTTATGACACGAGGCCCTCCATGCTAGGGATCTGCGCTGGCATCAGATGCATGTTTATCTAAATCTGCGGACCCTTGGGATGTGACCTCAACTGTGGAACACTGTCCTTTCCCAAACAGAAAGCAAGTACTTTAAAATACACAGTGGAGAAAAATGGACAATTGTGTTATAACTGTGTTAAACTGATTTGTAAATAGAACATAATAGAAAGCATTAAAACAAAATTGTCATGATCAAATTAATTTTGTAGAAAAAATGCATTAAAGGGCACCAAATATGGCCCCCTTTTTTTTTTTACAAGATGTAATATAAGTCTCATGTGTCCCCAGAATATGTCTGTGAATTTTCAGCTCAAAATACCCCACAGATCATTTATTATATAATTTTGAAAATGCCTATTTTGAGTGGAAGCAGAAACACCTGTTTTAGTGCATGTCCCCACCCCCTTTTCCAGAATAGGGCTGTGCTCCTATCTCAGATACTCTGCCAAAAACATCTGTTTGTTTTTTTTATTATCTTGTCTATCACGCTGAAATCATGCGTTTTAACGCCATATCAGTTTAAACTTCTGATATACGGTTTTCTGAGCGCACACATCCGATGCACACGCACAGAAAGCGGCTGTCACATGACATGTGAGTACTAAACTAAGTTCTCTTTCATCTCTTATTGTTCTTAAACTGTCAAATACACACAAGTTTAAGTTAAAAACACATACTGTAAGTTACAAAAACACAGTCGTTTATGTCTGTGAAGTTAAACAGCTGGGCAAGAAATCGCATGTTTATATTAGAATGGTGTATTAAGTGGCAGCAGCGTAATATACAGTAGCTACTACTGTCTATGCTGTTAATTTGACCCAAACAATAAAATAAATACAGAAAATCACTCACTGCTCTTGACTGAATAACTTCTATAGCTTTAATAAGAAGGCATTTCTTATTTGAATGCTGCATTTAAATGCACTAGCGTGAAGATAAACATGGCGGATTGTGTGCATTTAATTCAGGGCGGGGTCTCTGCTAATACAGCAGTGCCTGTCAACAGTTGTGGGTGGGGCCTGCAAAAATTGACATAACATTTTACAGATTCTGCGAACGGCTTGTTCTGAGACACTGCTTATGATTTATGGGGATTAAACAAAAGGAGTGGGTGGATTTTTTATCATTATAGGGTGGTTGTGTACACAACTGCCAACACACATTTAAAAGTATGCCCTGCACATGACATAAAGAGAAAAATAGATAACGCAGATATTACTAAAGAATTTGTTTCCATGACTTGTTCATTTGTGGCCATGTTTCATTAGTTAACTTCTTTTAGCTTGTGGCCACATTGAACTAATTATTTCTCATTTTAATTTATTGTGGCCGAAGTAATTAATTGGAAAAAAATCTTTGTGGCTGTGATATCTTGTTTTTCCCATGACATTTAGATTTTTCTTTAATAATTTTCTCAGTATTAAGGGATATTCCCACAAAAATTTATATTCTCTTCTGTTTTCCGTCTCATATGTTTCGATATGTTATGTAAGTAAAGCTGCTCTTCTCAATGCAAAAAGTACCATAGAAGTACTCCTATCATATTTCAAATGTACTAACTATTCAGACAGTATGCGATTTCATACACATCGCTAGTAACTGTCTAGCAGTGCCCTATAGCAATCACCTGAAAAGGTCCCCATAAAATCTAGTATCCGCCTATTAACCAAGCTAAGCAACCGCCAATCAACGACAACTACCA